ATAGAACATGAAATTTTGCATTCGGTGAATTACACGATATTTAATATCACCGTGCCATAACCCACGTAAATGGTCCCAATGGGTTGATGTAATCAAGGGTGCGCGTTTTCACCTGGTTAATCCGGCTACTGAAATGTAATATTTACTTCTGGGAATGGCAACCAGGCGGTCACAGGAGAGAAAATTAGCCATAAGACGCTGTGAGCGAAGCGGCTATGGAACAGCTGAACGTAACTCAATAAGTCACAACATAAACATTGTAATTTGCAAAACAATTATCGCAAGCCTACGGAAGAAAGGCGATGCATGAATACTAGACTTCTCGAATTCATTTTAATTTTGTCCTTCTTCCATAAGCTACCACTTGAATGATCCTGGACACAAAGGAACAAGAGATGATGCCTTCGTTAAAACTGCAGGCATTTCCGCTAAACAATATTGGTCATCTTTAAGGCAAATAATGCTTGAACAACATTGCAACAACATTGTTTGCCCAGAGTAGGGTCAGTGCAGTTTAGCAGCAGATACTACGACCTCTGTGGTTCCTTGTATCCGAAACCTTTAAAGTGCCAATTTAATGAATGTCAGGTAAGATGAGATCGAAAGTTTGGTTTTTCTCTCGATCCCCTTTACATCCTCTTTCCAGTTCTTATATTTTTCTTCAACGATCTCTTGTACTTTACTTTCGTTTTCTTGCTCTTTTTCACTTTTCCATTTCTGCTTTCTCTCTCTCCATTTTTTTTCATTATCTTCCTCTTCTTTTGCCCATTCTTCATGTTCTTCTTTCTCCATTTCCAACTGATTCTGAATATCGCAAACTTATCGAAGAAAGGAAATACACGATTGTATGCTCACATCAGTTTCAGGTCTTTTCTATCTTCTTTTCTGCCCGTCTCTCTTATATTTCCTCTTCTTAGTTCTATTCCGATTGTTCCATTATTTTTTTCTTGCAACTTTTCCTCATTCTATTCTCACTTCTTCTTCGCACTCTTCTTCATCACGACGTATTCATTATGTATCATGCAGGAAGTGTTCAGACGTTGGTCCATGTTGCTGACAACACAAATTCAAATTAGCATTCTCAGATCTTCAGCGGTCTACTGCTGCTCGTTTGACACAACATTCTGCTCCATATGATAACACAAGTATCAGTATTGTTTTATAAACCTTCCCTGGTCTTTAGTTATACAGACATTTGCATGTCACATCGTACCCATGTCATTGCTCCTCATTGCAGTCAAGCCGTTATCGATTCATTTCCTAATTAGTTGTCGATTTGCTCGTTGTATTGCACGAACTATAGATGTCAGAAGGCCATCTGCCATCAATTCACTGGCTGTTCAACCTTGTTGATTAATTTATGACAGGGACTGTTTACTCAGCAGAGCACCAGACACAGTTAAACGATCATGAGTTCCAGCCCTAGCTGGGTCACCCGCCATTTATATTTCAGAGGTAGACAAATGAGTACCGCTATAAGTGGACGAGGAACACGTGACCATGCACTGTAATGATCAGCAAGTTCATGAGGAACTGCAATTTTTTTCTCTCTTCTTGTTTTATTTCGATTCTACACTACGAACTTCATACAGTTATAAGGTTAATCTTATAATTAAATAGTTTTGAAAAAGTGAATGCTCATGTCGCAGCACCCTTATTAGTTTGTTGTCAACCTCTTGGCTACGCTTCCTCCAGACAACATACAAAAATCAAAGATCCTTATTTTCATGGTTTGCTTACTATTTATCTATCAGTTTCTTCCGGGTTAACGGATTTATTCAAGCCATTAAATTGTAGGGTTCTTCATTTCGCAAACAGTATTTATCTTTGAAGAGGACATGATTAAATACCACCTATCGGCTGAACCTTGGCTGAAATGAACAATATGACGAACAACAATATGACGTAGATGTTCAAGCATCCGCGAATCATGTTCAAGCTGTATAACGGCTGAGTGGCTGGTAGGCACAACTGCTGAAATACATGCGTCAGTCTCCATGCGCAAAACTGAGCGTCAAATGCCCAACTCCTCGCCTTCTTGGCAATTGGCCAATGCTGTAGACGTGTATCACATTCTGATTATATCTCATCCGCTGACTGTCTCGTGCTTTACTGAAATATTTCGATATCCGATTCATACACATACCTTGGCCCCACGTCATGTTTCACCTCAACTAGTAAACTTTGTCCTTTACCGCATAATCGCTTGAGTTAACAGCAGCGTTTCCGACATTTTTTAAAATTTGTTTATATTGAAAGCCAGTCAGTTGATGGTTGCCTTGTCGATTAGTTAACAAATTATCACTCGAGGTTTGGTGTGTCTGAAAACGAGTGTAACACTCGTTTCAAAGGTCAGATTAGTGGCGGGAAATGATTAAGTGCCTTGCTGAATCCTTGCCTGGCATCTGTTTTTAACACATTCTTGTTGCTGTTAATGACATAACAGTGGACACAGTGACAAAAGCCTTTGAGGACCATGGGCTACCGCCGGACCATTATTGGGTTTTCAAGACCTAGTCGCATCAGTAAACGGATTTGAGCATTGACTGGTGCCAAAAAACCACGTCATATGCCTATCGGCTTGAACATCTTATCCGATCCACATGA